GGAACATGTATTGCATTGGCATGAGTATGTGAGGGGTGGAGTCTGCCCTGCCAGTAGTGGCTTTTGGAAGCATGGCTCGGTACCTCAAAACCAGTGGGTCGTCGCCTTCGTACTCATCGGCGAACATGTCCCGCATCTTGGAATAGCATGAAGGGCCGTCGAGGGAGTACTTGTGCTTCAGGTAGCGCTTGAAGCGCTTGTAGAAGTTGGTGGCGACGGAATTCCTGGTGCACGTGGCCATCTGAAGGCTTGCATTCTGGTACCAGCCGGAAGAGAGATGCTCACAGTCCGGAGGCAGATAGCTTGCGGGGCGTGATGCCAGGTAGAGCTCTACGGTCTCCCTGAGGTAGAGGTCTTTGACGGAGCTCTTCTGCCTACCAGCCATACTGACGGCAGAGAGGCAGTTGTAGAAGAAGGGCTGGTCCAGAAGTGGCACTTCTCGACCTGACTCACACATCCGTAGTACATGCAGGTTAGCAAGGACGTAGGCCTCAAATATGGCCTTATTCACTTCCTTGAGCACGCTCTCCAGAGGGAGGGCCCTGGCAGCGTCCTTGCAGAAGCTGCTGAGGCTGGTCTTGACCACGGTGCATTCGGTCTCTTTGTTCCTCAGGGCCCTGAGCTTGACGTCCTCTCGGGTCCTAGGCTCTTTGAAGAGTTTGCTCACGTAGGCCAGGCATTCGTGGTGGAGAGCGACATCTGGGGGTTTCTTGGGTGGCATTAGACCACCCCTATGAGTCTCCTTAGGAAATTAGTTCTTGGAAATTTTACGCACGGCCCAGGTTATGGTATACGAGCCGAGGGCTTATAATACCGGACTGTCGTATACAGTACTTAAGCGGGTAAATATATACGACAATCGTATGAAAAAGGTCCAACCGGCCGGTTTCGCGTGACACTTTCGACGAAAACGGTAATAACATCTTCCATGCCCTCTTCTCGATGTCGCCCACACCTCGTAGGTGCCCCCCCAGCGAATCCAAACGCAGGTGACGTCCGGCACCCCTCTGTCTTGCACTTTGTGTAATTTCTCTCCATATCCTGGGACTTGTGTTGCGCGCATCGCGTGGCTTTGACATGGGGCAGCCCAAATGTGGGTGCTTTGCCACAACCTTCTATCGCACAAAGCCTGTGTGGGACCATTGCCGCTGCCTTGTGCTCCGCGCACGAGGTTGGACGCCCACCCGTAACGCCGTAGGACGGTTGTTTCTTGCATCCTTGCGAATCGCAGCATTTGTTGATGAGATTCACCATGCTCACGGTTTTGTGTCTTGTGCACCGAGTTGGTCGACCTCCCGGCACGCCGAAAGTTGGACGCGTGGGACAACCCTCAACGTCGCACAGCTTGCTGTTGACGTCGACCATGCCGTCGGCTA